AAGTAACAACATATAAGTACATAAGTAACATATAAGTACACAAGTAACAACATATAAGTACATAAGTAACATAAATCAGGCTCAGGCTCTTATTTTGAAAGGACTGTGTGCTGATGATGAGAAACCCTCAGTTTTGTAGGTCAGCCTTTAATACAGCTGTTTCCTGTCTCGTCTCATCACAGATGTGGAGCTGTGACCCACAGGAAGTGATGTCACTTTCTGATGACCCTCTGGTGACGCTGTCTGATTGTCTGCTGAAGGAGGACTTTGACCTGTCCATCATGGACCTGAGCAGGACCTACGTAAGAGAACCCGTGCTGATGTTTGTAACAGAAGCTGACTGAAGTGTGCAGGAGCAGTACAGGTGAAGCTGCTGTCCTCTGAAGGTTCCAGGTGTGAAGGAGCAGCTGCTGAGCACTGATGAAGAGCCCTGCTCCTCCTCCTCCTCCTTCTGGAACAGAAGCAGCATGATGGAAGCTGTCATGTCCTCGCCTTCACAGGTCAGGATGTCTTCAGACACCTAATCACACACAATCTGTCTGCAGGGGTCTTACCTTGTGTTCTTCAGCTGATAACCTGTCCCTGTGGACACTCTTCTCAGGTCTTTGGGCTGTGTGGTGTGGATGAGCTGAAGTTCCAGCGTCCCTCTCTCACCTCCACCCCTGTATGTTCCCTGAAACACTCCAGCAGCCGACAGGACAGCCGCTGTGTTCACTGCAGCCTGAGCAGCAGGTCAGTCTCTTCTCTGTCTCACCTTTGACCTCTGTGACCTCTGACCTGACCTGACCTGACTTTTATGTTCAGGACGCCCTCAGAGACCAGAGAGAAGATCAAAGCACTGCTGATGTCAGCTCCTCAGACACCAACTCCCCTGAAGATCTCTGACTGGAAAGACGAGGTGAGACAGTTAGTGATCAGCTGATGAACAGTTGATGAATAGCTGAAGAACAGCTGATGAACAACTGATGAACAGCTGATGAACAGCTGATGAACAGTTGATGAACAACTGATGAACAGTTGATGAACAGCTGATGAACAGTTGATGAACAGTTGATGAACAGCTGATGAACAACTGATGAACAGCTGATGAACAGCTGATGAACAGTTGATGAACAGCTGATGAACAGTTGATGAACAGTTTATGATCAGCTGATGACCAGTTTATGATC